GGGCTGCTACTGCTTAACTAAGTAAACAAAGACAAAACTACAGTAGCATATTTACACATGAAACTGACCTGCACTTGAAATCCTGAACAGTAATTTTGCTTCTCTGCTCCACCTGTGCGCTTATACAGTCCACTCAAATCTCTTGCATTGATTAATTTACTCTGATCTAAACCATTTGGCGGAGGCGCGGAGGGGGCGCGAGCTGAAGTGCATTCCCAATCACGACTAACCGATTCATGATTTATTAGAGATGTATTATCGAATGTCGAATTCGGAAACATTCGGCAGGCAACTATATAATAACAATAATATTAAAAAAGTGGGCAAAATCAGCTGCCAAGCCACCCGGATCTCCCGATGACCAGTCCGCGCCTGATTTCCACAGAGAAACGCAGAACATGCAGGATTCATATTGTCCTTTTGCTGCTGAATATTTACAGACCCTAGTCCATATCGCATTTTGATTCAAGTGTACTGACCAACTTTTGATTTATTCATCCAAATGTTGCATATTCTGCGTTATAAGAATTCCAACCAGTCTGTGATTTCCGCATGGCGGAAATCATAGGGCAGTAGGCCTATGTCTCATATTTTAGAGTAGTCAGAGCAATTTGGGAAAGAAATCAATTAAATCTGTATGTGGATGTGTGTAAATATTCAAATGTAACCCCCTTTGTAGTCGTTAACATTTTCATAAGTAACTGTCATTTAATTACACATTTTTTTCTTAGTAACTATAACTGATTACGGTTACATTTATTTTGTAATTAAATTACGTAACGCCGTTACATGTAACTAGTTACTCCCCAACACTGCAAATGGTTCAACAATATATTGAGAATTGTAGCATCCCTAGTACTGTATATGTATAATAAAGGTAGAGACCAGCTTGCTGAGAATTTTGAAGCAGTTGTCACAAAAGTGAGCTAAGTAGACATTTAACTACACTTGCATTGAGATCTGAACTTTCCTTTAGAGCTTCACTTAAATATTCCCATTGATGTTCTTACGAGTGATTGCAAATGTACTTCTCCTACTGCGGCTTCCTAAACTTTGTTCTCTTGGTTCATTTTATCCAGAAAAATAAATGAGAAGTCATTTATATCTCACAATTGTTCAGAAGCTTTAGTTACATTAACAATTTGACCATTTATATACATAAGAGACAGAACTGCAGTGTGGAGTAAATCTTAGAAATGAAAGTCACGACGATAGATGCAATACAGGAAACTGAAATAGGAATTAGCTGCTGAGGTTTTTTTGTGTTGTTCCCATGAGTGCTGAGGACCATAAAAAGGACTCCAGGAAATGTACTGCTGCAATAGAATTTTATGTGACTTTGAACCAAATTTGAGCTGTCTAAACAGGCCAATCGCAATATCATCCCATTTATCAGCAATCTGATCCAAAACAGCAGATGTAATGGCCTTTCTGGTATGACTCGGGTGTAGGATATCAGACCGAATCAGACAATCTAAGATTTGGTCAAAACATGGTTGAAACATGAGGAGCCGAATTCCACAGAGGCCCAAGACAACAGGATGTTCATAAATCAGACCCTAGCACTAGCCAGTCTAAAGCAAGCCTAACCAACTCTTTCACAGAACAGCTTTCAACATTAACACAATAGGAGCACACTGATCATAACAACTCAGGAAGGAGATTGTCAATTTTAGGGCAAGTAATCAAGATTAAATGGTCAAAGAGATGACAGCATGACTCTCACGTGATAGTAAACACAATCACGAGCCCTGTAGATTGACTTCCCCCCAACTCTAACAAAGAACAGACTTTCAGAGATTCCTTACAGACCTCTTAATCTCAGGTCTTCATACATTCACATACATTCACAGAAACTGCCTTTCTATGCATCTAAATGACACTAAAATACTTGTGAGCAACTAATCATTTCTATGCATAACTCCATATCATGTATGTAACCCACACATCAGACTATCAGGTCTTAATCATTTATTGTGTATGTATTTTGAATAACTATTGAATAGTTTATAGGATCACATTCATGTTTAGTATGTGTGTGTTTGAATCTTCTTGCTTGAAACGTTTCTTCCAATCAATTCTTTGTCAAATGTATCATATTCTTGTTATAGAAATCATGTCCAAAATTATACTCTGCAAGAGCGGGAAAAACTCGGACCATGTGACTGATAAGATAACATTTGATTTATGAATTGAGAGGAGAAATATACAACACCCCTAGCAAAGA